ATACTTTCTTCTAGTAAAACCTCAAGTTTACGAAGAATAGGTTCTAAATGAGCAACACAACTGTGTCTATCCTTGAATCACTCTTCTGTTTTTTTAAAACCCCAACACAGTCAGCCTTCATATTTAGGCAGGCACGCTTCATAACTGACAATGAACCTCTCAAATGCTCACCCAGTATGGTTTCATGAAGACACAGGCCAGGCATAGAATCAAGAGCCTTCCTAAACAAAGTCTGCCTGGACACAAATGAGACACTTCAGAACCAGTGTTGATTGGCTCCTCTCCTAAGGCCAACCCTGAAAGCACAGAAGCACCCACAGACTTTTACTCTCTGAAGAGGGCACAGCAGGGGTGAACTGTGTGGACCACTATTACCCTTTCCTGTGAGATGGCGCTGCAAATCCCCAGACGCCTCCCTACAGCAGCTGTGGTGGTGATGCTGATGGTGCTGAGCAGCCCAGGGACCCGGGGCAGAGACTCCCCAAGTAAGTGCAGGGCAGGGGTGGCCAGAATCAGCACTGTGGGGACCCAGCTCTCATGGACCCTGGGACCCTGGGGGGATGGTGAGGTCCGTGACAGAGAACAGTCTTTTATCTTAGATGTTCTTTATGTGGAAGAGAGAGCTAGGCTACGCCTCCTTTCCATCTTCTACTGTTGACTAGCCACTAGGCCTGGTCTAGGATAGGAGACAGAGCTTGTATCCACTCCTGATGACAAGGGAGCACCAAGCACAGGCTGTTTGAACACAGTACATTTCTGCACAGAGGGAGCAGCAGGGTGTGTCAGGCCAGGCCCCCAAGACTGTGTGAAGGAAATGCTGAGATTCTGGGTGAGAACACGCGGGTCAGCGATGGTCTTGTGGTCTCAGTACTGGAGTTGAAAAAGGCCCTGTGTTCTCACCCCGCCGGAGGGAGGAAAATTCCAGGTATTTGAGTGAAGCCAGCAGACAGGGAATCTGTTTCACTGATTTATGGTCAAGAAGACTTGAGGCTGAGAGACTCGCGTGGAGGATGAATTTAGAATCGGGCATAAAAGGAAGTATTAAGATTAGAGGCACCCCCCCCCGCCCCCCCAGGTGCAGACTCGGGCGGGGAGACGGGGAGGAGGTGCGGGCCGAGCAGGCTCCAGGCTCCGCACAGGCGGGTCCACATCCCATCTGGTTTGGAGACGCGGACCTCCCGGGTGGCGGAGCCGGCTGAGACCGGCTGACTGTGTGTCCCGCAGGGGACGCCGTGTACCAGTTCAAGGGCCTGTGCTACTTCACCAACGGGACGCAGCGCATCCGTAGTGTGACCAGATACATCTACAACCGCGAGGAGTACGTGCGCTTCGACAGCGACGTGGACAAGTACTTCGCGGTGACCGAGCTGGGGCGGCCGGACGCCGACTACTGGAACAGCCAGCAGGACATCGTGGAGCGGACGCGCGCCGAGCTGGACACGGTCTGCAGACACAACTACGAGCTGACCGAGGTCCCCACCTCCCTGAGCCGGCTCGGTGAGCGGGTGCAGTCTCCTGCGGGGTCCGCGGGGTCGGGGCGGGGCCTGGGACCTGGACGGTCGCCGGGAGGAAGCCTGGTCCGCAGCCGAGTTCCCGCTGGGTCTCCGCGGATCCTTCCTGCTCTGTGCGGACCTCGTTCCAGTCCCTCCAGCACCTCGGCTCTGCCGGGTGCTGGGTGCTGGGTGCTGGGTGCTGAGTCCGGCGGGTCTAAAGAGCCCCTGGAGCCGAACCTGGAGTCAGAGCTCCAGAGGACCTGGGCCCCCGCGCCCCCTGTGAGATGCCGCAGTCCTGAGGAGACGGTTAACTGTCTGGTGTCCGCTCGTTACCATAGTAATTTCTTCCCAGAGGACACTTGTCCTGAGCTCTTCCAGGGCCTGGGCTGCCTGGTGGCAGCTGGTGCCTGCCTGCCACTGACCGGAAGTCCTTACTGGACAGCAGGATGAGCTCGGGGAACCTTTGTCAAATTAATGACGGTGTATTCACCCAGGTCCTCATTTACACAGGAGAGAAAAGAAAGATTAAACAGAACCTTGAAAGGTTCCTTACTATTATTATTTTCTTCACGCTTTGAAGGAAACTCATTGGTTTGGATCGTACTGATCAGAAATTTATAAAATCTGAGGAGGAAAATGCTAAAAACACAAACAGCACTTGGAAGATGTTGAAGGCAGAGGTTTAATCTCTTAGGAAAACTCCACAGACGGTGTAAAGAGCTGAAGCTGTGGAATAAATAAACAGCAGTCGTTAGTGACTGAACAGAGCTGTCTCGGGCTGGTTTGGCTGGGGCCTCCCCTCTTCGGCCACCAGCATCAGCATGAACTTTAGAAACGGATATTCTGAAAGTAAATCTTGCCCGTTTAGTGAGCACTGTC